TTCGGTGGATGATATCTGTGTTCAACCGTCGCCTTGAGCAAAAGCGACCGCATATTAGTTAGATTCTCTCTGATGGCCAAGGAGAATCTACCAATAGTGGAACCAGAAGCGTCCCCCTGTTGCCGAAAAGCAGACTACCATCTCATGAACAATGAACTCCTGGAGGATTCATGGCCACAAGAATGGCACTTACTATCGATGAACCAACACGGGATACATATTAAAGATGTTATCTGAGGCGCTATCGAAAAGAGTGTTCCGAAACGAACTCGAAAAAACCTCTCAAACGGTCTTGGGTTACTCGCGAAACCCATAGACAAATACAGATAAAGAAGGCCTGGTATCGGTGGCACACTTCACACAAGGAATCAGACTGCCTTAGCTACAAGAAGTTACGCAACTTTTTTGACGTGTTTTCTTGATGACGCACAAATATTAGAGTAACCTGGCCAAATAGTTATGCTATGACTCGAAAAGCCCATGCCAGTTTGTGTCACAGCAAAAGCCGACGAATAAAGGTTTAGACTTGATCATAGGACCAAACAGAGAACCTTTGGGTAGCAGTGAGATGGCGGAACTGCGGAGCAGCTGATTTGACGAGCAACTCAATACAGTGGTGCATCCACCACCAACATCCAGTAATGTAAGGAAGTTCCAGAACTGCGATATCAAGGTGATGAAGGTAAAGATTTCGTCAAACCAAGTGTGTGCGGAACTTTCAACACTCAGAATAGTGTAATCTCCGGTCTGTGACATGGGACCGGTAGTCCTACGGAATTGTGCCGAACTGCTAAGCATACCTACATGCAATCTGTTCACTCACTGGTTGGAGGTAAGCCGACTCTCCAAAGAATGGAAACACGCCATCCTTTCACCAATCTTCATGGGAGGAAACCGAAAAAGCCTGCACAATTACAGACCAACGGCGTTGCTTTCCGTACTATCTAAGTTGCTGGGAAGCCTGATTGCAGATGTTGCACGGGACTACCTAAATGGAAACAATATCGTTCATCCCACCCAACATGGCTTCAGAACTGAGCGGTCATTGTGCCACTACATTGATGGCCGCTTGGGATGACTGGTCTACTCGATGGGACAACAAGCAACCAGTTCACGTTATCTCTCTGGACTTGACCAAAGCTTTCGATAGCGTCTCACACCACACCATGCTCGCTAGACTTTCAAAAGTGGGTATCACTGAATCACTTATGGCATGATTTACAGCATATCTAGAAGACGGAGAATTCCGTGCTGACGTAAACAGAATTCAATCAACCTGGAGAAATGCAAGAATTCGAGTTTCTCAAGGAGTGACCCTTGGGCCACTTCCATTTTTACCACTTGTATGTGACTTTCCACCAAAAGCTCCTCGTCTACACTCCGATTTGCAGGCGACACCAAAATATGGTGGTCGAAGGGCGACGAAGAGGCTTTTAGGATACTTCGAAACGACCTGCTGCAGTTGGAGTCCTGGTCAGCTGCAAACGGTTTAGGCTTTTAGCTGGAGGAGTGCAAGGCTGTGTATCTTCTCACTGCAGAGACGATGAAAGTCAGCTTCATCCCTAGCAAGTATGCAATCGCCGAGGTGTCCACAGATAATGACCCAGGACAAACTTTTTCTGACACACTGGACACCACCATAGATTATAAGGGAATGGTAGCAGATGCGAAAGCCATCATGCACTTTCTAAGAAGGCAAATTGGGTCACTAACCTCGGAATTATTCCTCAAGGTGTTCGAAACCTATGCTAGGCCACATCTAGAGGTGTGCAACACGATGGCCCCCATCCCACCACTGAAGAGAGATGAAAATTCTCTCGCGAAGTTACAGAGAGGAGTGGCAATGTCGGTTATCGGACTAACGGATAAAACATAGTCGCAACGCCTCAGACAACTCAACTTGTTCACACTAAGCCATCGAGGTGACCTGATAACAGCCTACAAGACCATTTGTCAAGTGGACCGTCCAGGTGTGTCAACGTTATCAGCCAAAACCGACAGTATGGTGGGAACCCTGCTCGCATACCTCACCATAGGGCGAGTGGAGTAGCCACAGTTACATTAGTCGATCCCTTCAAACAACTGCTGGATGAGTATGTAAGCGCAAACGGCTTACCACGAACATTTGTCAGCAGTAACTGATGATGCGCCCTCTCATACTTGTATTCGCCTTGTGTTCCCCAACCCTAGTATCTGCAGTAGGACTCATCTCTCCTCTATGTCATTATCAGTAACACTTACCTTTTAATAAGTCCTTTAAACCCGCCTTTTTCTCTCTACCCACCCATCCTACTTCTAGCACTTTTTGAGTAACGCTTGATTCTTACTTGGAGGTGCGTGGGAAAGCAGGAATTGCAGATGGTTCATTGATCTTATCAGCAACTGCACTACCCACTCCGAAACAAACCAAGCTACAATTTCCAAATAAAATACCTCCAAGTAGATAACCACTACCTCCAAAGTTATAAGCAGGAAAAACATAAGGACATCTGCGACCATCGAGGAGTACAACCGAATAAAAAGAACCGAGTGTCAAGACCTAGAAGTGAGAGCTCAGAAACTACAAGTTTCCTCTACTCTCACTATTGATGTTGGATGTTTTTGAAATCCTGCAGCAGTGGGCTTGAGCCCTCCTCGTCTATGACTCCATCGAAATAAATCAACCTTAAGTGCTTCTTTCACCGCAACGTTAAAGACTATCAATTCACAGCGAGTGACGAAAGTGGTGGCCCTTCAAGTCGACATGAATGAAGTGTCAGTTTGACTCAAACATCAATACCTTGAAATACGCTCCGACACAAGTGCTGTGGTGCGCAGTGAACACAGCAACTGTGGCCAGTATTCCCCACATGCGATCTTGACAAGCGTGGGGTGAACCAATGATTCTTCGAGTTTGTTGAATGGTCACGGTCGCCGGAACAAGAACGAACGCGATAGGGCAGCCGGGTGGGAGTTGAACGCTCTACAAACGTTTCGGTATACCGAAATGTATGAACTACTTGACTACGAGACTGTGAACGGGAAACTCAGCCTGTCAAAGGTCGTGAATACTCGGCCATATCCCTTCAGCTAAACAAAGCCATTTGAGGCTTTCGACACTGCGTGGTCTAGATGTTGGGTGACCACATGAAATTCTGCTGGGGAATGAAACGACAAGTTACGGCTTTGTGTGTCGTGAACGAGGGCCTCAGGTTTGTGCAAGCTGCTTGACAGACTCGTTTGGATCTATCATCTCAGAATCCGAACCTACAAGTTTTCCGCTAACAAACCATATGCTGGAGACAGGTTTGCAAGAGACCTCCAATAGATTATCAGCTGAAGTGACAATATTATCGATCGCATAAGATTACTATGCCAGTAGCACCGTTTGGCCCATATCTTGTAGTTTTCAGAGTAACAGTTCAAGCTAAAGTCCACCATCAAATTTCACCAGCCAATTACTCCTCGCATTCATGCAACCGCTTCGGTAGTTGAATCGTTCCATGGCTCGACTATACGAAGCAGTTCTTGTAGACGTTGACGGTTTGTAGGATGGCTTTTCTTCCAAACGGTAGTGCCGGGAAAACTGTGTCGCTTGAATCCACAGGAGAGACAGGTGCCGTAATGTACCTGTTCATCTCCTACAACAAGGCTAGTACGTCAGGAAGAAATAAAGGACAGGGACCTGTATTGCCCTGTTGTCGGAAGTTGGGGTCAGCACACAGAAACCGTGCCTCTGAATTGTCTGGCCAAAATGTTACGAAGTGAACTAAGTGCGTTGTCAGTCTAATGCAGACAGTTTTGGAAGTCTGGTGGCACATGGATAGGAAGATTTATCGAACCAATTAACCTGACTTATTAACTTGAAAGTCACTACACAAATTCAAAACTGAGCTGGTTCTTCAGTCAGGAGATTGCTCACCAGCACTCCGGGAAAATGCAGAAACCGACCGCTAAACCTTTATACGCGGGAGTCATATATTGCGTGAATCGTGCCAATACACCGAGATGCACAATCCAGTAGGCCAGGAGATAGTGAACAAGAAGCGCAACGTGACAAGACAATTCGCCAAATGTCATGGAAGCTTGGCCATATGTCTTTAGCTTAATGCTTGACTTGGCATCAGTGCTGAATACCCTCAAAACTTCGGGTATCGATGTCAATAGACGGCTTGCAGCTTCACAACTTCTTCCAGTCATACAATTAGAAGGCTCAGGGACCGAGATGACCTATCACCTAAAAACGTCCGTAAACTGTCACTGCCATCGGTCTAAACTCTCTGCTTACAATGGCTCCAGTCGGAATACGTTCATGTTATTCTACACAGCATATTTAAGAATTCATCCACAATGCTACTTCCAAACAGTTGTGTATCACCCATATTCATTTCTAGTCTGCAGGACAAGGCAAGATTCGACCACTCGAAAGTGGTTGTTACATCCCAACTTATGACAAAGGTGATCTAACTTTGGTTTTCCGTACTCACAGTAATGACTGGGTCTTTAGTCACCACCAAGGATTTATTATAACAGTTGTTATCGGACAAAGGCCTGAAAATCACGACCTGATCACCTTTAGGTTAGGCAAATACTCCTTTGACTAAGAGGTCACTGAGTGAAACGTATTTCCCGAGCATCTCCTTATGCATAATGAATTAGATGAGAAAAAATTCTTCACAGAAATATTGGTTGCAAGGATTAATGCAGACCAATCCGCTTGCCAACCTGGTAATTTAAAGCCAAGACTTAATAAATAGATGCAAGAGATCTAAAACTAACAGTTTCCTATTTTCGAACTGCTGATGTTAGATTTTGGAAGACTGGACTGATTTGATTTGCTCATGAAAATTTGCATTTTCTCTTTCCATTTCTTGCTTAGGTTAATAACAAGAGGACCTTATGGCGAACTTTCGCTCACTATGGAAGCTACTTGAGTGAAAACTTTTATTTCTTAACAACGTTTTGAATCAATAAAAACTTCATACTGTTCAAGGACAGTGAGGTGGCGCACATCTGAACGGATGTGGGCTGGGGTTAGTTTTTTTATCTTGGTCGTGTGTGAAGTATTTATAGTACTTTGGTCTTTTCCAGTTTAATAAACTCAGACGCTTAGTTCGACACATAATTTATGTTTGAAAGCCAGGAAAGTTCTAGCAATCACTTACCAGGACGAGATTCTCATACATATGTTTGAGACGTATATATATATATATATATATACTGGTGAAGACTAACTTATTCATCTAAATTGAGGAAGACGTTGGTTTCAGTATCCTTGTCCGACGAAATAAAGTTTAGCGCATGTAGTGGAAGTGTTTTAATACTGACCCAGGATTTGCAAATTTTCCAGCCGTTTAGCTTCAAAGATTGAAGATCGTAAAAAGCAAAAGACAGGAGGGTGTCAACAAATGAGTATGTCAACACACACTATAGTTGACTTCACCTCGCAAAAAGGAAACCATTCAGTCGTCGCCCAACAGAAAACCTCTGATGACTGGTATTTACAATGCATCCATGTCGGATGCTCAAAAAGCCTTTGCGTGCAACATTTTTCTAAAATAATTGCACCATAACTGTGATAAGGGTACATCAGATCAGTAGTACAGCTTCACGAGGAAGCACCCTTGTAAACAGATGTAGTGTATACATCCAGAATGTCGGAAATTACCTGCTATTACGACGAGGAACCTGATAAAACCCAAAATATTATAAAATACGAGCTCCAAAAATCTACCCACAGACACTGGGCAGGCTCCACAAGCGTGCGAAGACGTCACCCCTAGACATGGAAAACTACCAGTTCCCACTTCAAGTGAGGTGCCGACGAAGTCTTCACTTGTATCGATGCTACCCAGACGATTCAACGAAATTGAACAACTCGAAGAAGTAGGTCATACCGTGGATAAATGGACCGAAGTTTATAGGGGAAAGGGTGGACCGAAAATGTTGGCTACCAAACCTAATACCCGGCGCCAACAGGACAAGAGAACTGACTCCATCATTTTATCCAATGTTCCCACACTAACATACCCACCCTTAGTAAAGAAGAGTGGTCTGACATAGAGAAATGGGATGACTACTGCAAGAAGCCAGGAATAGAATTCATTGCAGTTAGTTTATGTCGGCTCTCTCGAGGCAGTAAAGCACTTCGAGATAAGCCACTACCTTTCAGGGTGTCATCGATGACACCAAAACAGTCAGAGGACATACTACTGCTGTCGCGCCGACCAAACAACGCAGGCTTGTGTGTCATAAAGGCAAAGTTAGATAGTCTATGAGTTATCATAGATGCGGAAAGTCCACACTTAGTAATCTGCACAAAGCCGGAACCGTGGTGTTGCATGGAATATCCGAATTGATGAGTGGACCCACAAAGTGTGATCATTACCTCCATGCTTTTGAGCAATGGCAATAGCTAACGGAAAAAACGCGACTAGGAAGATTTCTTGCCAGCAGCGCAAGTAGGTTACCAAGCCCTGCTCACCTGCGGAGCATCTCTTCACCAAGGTCGCTAGCTGTACCCTTTGACTCTAAGGCATCACTCACAGAAGCCCTTGCAGCATGATACCGCCTAAAAGATCAAATAGGAGGTGCTATACGATGCTATAAAAGTAAACCACAGTTCACTAGATTGGAAGACATAAGGCAACCAAGAACACTACTGACAGTACCGATAGCTGCTACCTTGACGTGGTGGTCGGGCTTGCATATCACAATGACCCAACGAGCTATGCTGGTGGAACGCTTGTTCCCTCGAGGTCCTACCATACCAGAAAGGTCTGTTGGGTAGTGGTTAGACGAAAAGCAGTTACCGTCATAGTGTAAATTGCTACACTATGATGGGGGTCTGAGGGCGAAGTCGTACTGCTGCTAGCTGGATGGGGTGTGACAGCAGTAAGGTGTTTCCCTTGGATGACCAGCAGTGCCAAGCTGATGCTGCCTTCTCAGTGGAAGGGGGGGTTAGAAAAGGTCGGCCCCAAAAATAACACACTCCACCACGCCCCACGGTCTGCCGGGCCGGCGGTGTTGGTTCACTTGTCGTTTCCTTTCGCTCATCCGGCCCCAAAAATACAAAAATTCAAAATAATCATACTCAAAAGGCTGGGTGTGACAGGCCTCAAGCAGATGTCCGATGGGCTCTGCGGTCACACAAATCTCTTTCAGGTACCTTAAGAAGAAATAGCCTTCCACGGTGTGGGCAGCCGGGAAGTGTCAACCGCCCTCACAACTCTGTCAGCACCCAAGTTTCTTCTGACTGCTATCCTCCTCCTCCATCATTACCTTCTAATCTTCCTTCACGTCTCTTAATTAATGATGCTGCATCATCTTCAATTTCTCCTACCTCTGCAGCCTTCGACAACGATCTGAGTCCACAGAACAGCGTCCCTGGTCTCCTTAAACCACGCTCCAAATTACATATTGGAGCCTTCAATGTCCGCACCCTCCGTCAAATTGGCCAACAGGCTTCGTTGGCAAAGACTCTAGCAACTCGAGGCATGGATGTGTGCTGTGTTTGTGAGACACGCATACAGGACCCAAGTGTGGTTATTCACCTGACCTCTCCTGACCAATCTGGTGAATCTGCAAAATTCACCCTTCGAGTTTCTGGAGATTCGATAGCTAGCTCTCGTGGTCTTGCAGGTGTAGGTATAGCATTAAGCACCAGGGCAGAAAACTCACTACTAGACTGGATCCCAGTTGATAGTCGCCTCTGCGCTATGAGGCTGAACGGCACAGTGAGAACTAAAAGGAATAGTGAGACTCGCCGTTGTCTCTTTGTAATCTCTGCTTACGCACCCACTGACTGTAGTTCGGATGAAGTGAAGGACGAGTTCTACCATAAACTGTCTAACCTCCTCTCGAAAGCCAAACGTTCGGACGTAGTGGTTGTTGCAGGTGACCTCAACGCACAGGTGGGTAGACTGAGTGAGGCAGAAAGGCACTTAGGTGGCACTTTCGGAATCCCAGCTGAACGTACAGATAACGGTGATCGCCTATTACAACTATGCTCAGATAACCGCCTATTTTTAGCCAGCACAAATTTCAGACATAAAGAAAGGCACTGTCTGACCTGGCGTCCACCGAGCTCGACTCAGCGATGGACACAGATAGACCACATTGCTATTAGTCATCGCTGGAGAGGATCGGTGGAAGACTGCCGCTCCTTCTGGAGTACGTGTTTGGACAGCGATCATGCGTTGGTCCGAGCACGTATATGCCTGCGTCTCAATGGACGTAGAAAAAATTTGGCAACAAAACCACTACGAGTTCTGCTGGACAACGAAAACACCAAAGCCGTGTTCAGTGAGAAGTTGGCTAGGCAGTTATCGGAACAAAAGACTGTCACTCATCCAGAAGAAGCTTGGTGCCATCTTCAGTCTACTGTAAAAGCAGCACTGGAGACTGTAGCCGACTCCAAGATAATGGCTAAAAAGAGCCAGTGGATATCAGCAGCTTCTTCCAAACTAATGGATGCACGTGAATGCATCCCTGCAGGCTCTGAGTACAATGAAGAGCGAGCGCAACTTAAAAATAAACTGACGAAAAGTCTGCGCAACGATCGTGAACAGTGGTGGGCAGCAAAGGCTAAAGAGATGGAAAAGGCAGCGGCGATCGGTAACAGTAGACAGTTATTTAGACTTATTAAGGAGACTGGGGGGAAATGGTCAACAACAGTTAGTGAGGTTATAGCGGAGAAGGACGGATCGGCGATTCACTCGCAGGGAAGGCGACTGGGACGATGGGCAGAACACTTTGAGGAACAGTTTAACTGGCCTCCAGCCACCATTGCGCTGCCCGCTATCCAGTCGGACCCTGAATGGGACATAGAGACAGGTCCCCCAACACTAGAAGAAGTTGAGAAAGCGGTAGGTAGCCTGAAACGGGGAAGGGCAGCAGGACCAGACGGACTACCTGCTGAGGTATACAAGAATGGTGGTAGAGTTCTCTTAGTCAGGCTAACGGAAGTGTTAGCCAGTATATGGGAATCAAATACGATCCCCTCCGACTGGTCTAAGTCACTGATCATCCCAGTCTTCAAGAAAGGCGAGAAGTCCTCTTGTGATAACCACAGAGGAATCAGCCTGACAAACATAGTGTCTAAGATCCTAAGTTCTATAATTCTCCGACGCCTGAGTGGAGCTCGGGAACAGCAAGCCCGAGAAAACCAGGCAGGCTTTAGACCTGGCCGTGGATGTATCGACCAAATATTCACACTGCGCCAGGTCCTGGAACATAGGCATGCTTACAGACGCCCGACAATAGCTGTATTTCTCGACCTGAAGGCGGCATTTGACTCCGTTGATCGAGAAGTCTTATGGCAGTGTCTGTCACTGAAAGGCGTGCCTAGTAAGTACATCACCTTATTGAAAGCTCTCTACTCGAACACTTGTGGGCATGTTAGAGCCTATGGTGAGTTGTCCAGGGAGCTATACTCATCAAGTGGTGTCCGTCAAGGATGCCCACTATCCCCATTCTTATTTAATTTTATCATAGATATTCTTATGGAGGTTTCCCTCTCGTCACCTAATTACAAAGACGTTGACCGGATCACAGGTGAATTTTCCTTAGATCTAGAATATGCAGATGACATAGTCCTGTTAGGTGAAGACGCTGACAAGATGCAGAGTCTTCTGAACACTTTGAGTGGGAATTTGAGAATGTTTGGGATGCGATTTTCACCACCCAAATGCAAATTTTTGCTCCAGGACTGGTCTTCAGCGGTACCGCGGTTAACAATAGAGAGTGAAGTGGTTGAGTGTGTTGACCACTTCACTTACCTGGGAAGTAGGATCAACCCGGTGGGTTAGTTGCCGATGAGATTTCTGCACGGATACAAAAGGCTCGATTGGCTTTTGCCAATTTGCGCCACCTATGGCGCCGCCGTGATATTCGTTTGTCTATTAAGGGTCGCGTGTACTGCACAGCAGTCCGCTCTGTTCTACTGTATGGCTGTGAAACATGGCCATTGAAAGTGGAAGACATGAGAAGGTTACAGGTATTTGACCACCGTTGCCTTCGTAGTATAGGACGT